ATGCCCACAAGAAAACAGTCGATCGTGATTTAAAAAAATTAAAAATTGTTTTATGGATAAAAATTATGTTACAGAACTCTGTAGCAAAACTGCTTAATGACTTAGTGAATTTGGAGTCTTCTTGACAGGAAGAGAATTAGTTAATCTTGAGAAAAAGTGATCAAGTACAAAATGCTGTGTACATACAACATGGTTTAATGCATAATTTTATAAGGAGGTAAGATTCATATGGATTTCAATAGCAGCGATGCCGCTCAGCACTTGCAGATATTCAGGAAACAAACACAAACTCTGTCGTGCTAAATTAAGATCACATGCTTGCAACACTCACTCAGAGGAGTTGCCGCCGTGGGCGATTAGTCCTTGGGTTTCCTTTTTTTTTCCTTGTTGGTTTTGTTTTTGTTTAGAACCGCAAGAACCCGCTTCTACGGAGGTCATTATCGTGACTGTACAGTTAGGAAATTAAATTACAGTTCCCGCTGCAACTGTAACTCAAGTCTGATTAAATGTGCATGTGTGCAAGACTATTCATGGATAAATTTATATGACAGATCTTGCAGCCATTTACAGTAAGAGAAAAAAGCAGGGGGAAATGCAGAGCACTCTGATAGTGTTTCTGTGGGACTCTGGCTTTGAATTATATGCGTGTGCACGTCATATAACATTACACTAACCTAAGCTCTGGCATCAAGCGATACGTATTGCGGCCAAAACAAGCCATTTTAAGCTGTGTCAATGCCGGGTTCGTACTGCCTTCCTCCTACGGTTTTCTCCTGGTTATAAATATTCCTCGCGAGTTAAACGCTCGCCGTGACAGAAACCCTGCGGCAGCCGGTTGAGTTGCATTCGCCTCGTGAGTTTTTGAGGCTTCGTGTGCGGAGAGCGGCGGGGGCTCCCGTGCGAGCGGTGGGAGGCGAGGGCTTGTTTGGGGAGCCCGTTTTGGGCGGCTGGCAAGGGGTTAAGGCGTGTTTGCCTTGTGCAGATAGCGGAGCGTTGGATGCCTCCCTGCGCAGGCAGCAAATGCATTGGCTGAGGTTGAGGGCGGTTCTCCTGCCGCAGTTGTTTTCTGTCCTGGACTTCGTTGGATCTGGAGCCTCCTAATTGCCTTGTCTGTAATCAAAATACAGCTCGTGGAATTCATGAAAAAGGACCCGATGGTTGCAAGGCGGGTTTGCTCCTTGCCGCTGGCTCATCCGGTGGCCCAGAGGAGCGGCTTCCACGGGACACAGCTGGTGGCCCCAGCCGGCCGAGAGGACCTGTGGTGGCCCGGGCTGCCTCTGCTGACCCACGTTCACATGGACAGGGCTTGTTATTGCACAGGAGAAAGATCGTGCTGATTCATGACAAATTGGTCCCCAAACCACGTGGGAACATCTGTCCCTGTACTTAGGCAGCATCTTGATGTTCATTCCTGTGGTTAAGAATTTCTTCTTAATGAACTGTGTACCTCTTACCATACCCAAGCCATTGTCCATTTGAATACTCAGTTCAGCTCACCGAGGACATTGCTATTTAAACCCATCCAGTAGCAGAGGATCCCAAAGGAACAGGAAAAACTTAGCAAGAGTGATTTTTATCCTTTCCCCCCGTCCCCCCCCCCGCTCTTTCTGACAATTCACTGCTGTTGTTTCGTTAGCAGAAAACAAGAAACAAGACCGAATACAAATGTTTTTCACCATACTTCAGTATTCAGACAAGCTGTGTTTATTAGCTGAACAGCTTAATGCTTAATTAACTTGCCTGTTAAATATGGGTCTCCTGATTACCTGTGTTGGCTCGGGAATATGTTTACAGTATCAGTGTGTTTTGTTTCCACCTGAAGCACAGGGAAGTGGTGGAACGACGGGAGCAGTCCACAGAGGTAGAAATTCCTTTGCGCTGACTCTGCTGCCTTTTGTCCCCCCCAGCTGGGCCTCAGCAGCATGAAGAAATGTCAGTTTGAATGTATAATCAGAAAGGTTTGTAAAATGCATTGTTTCCTAAGTCTTTGGAGCCACTCTAGCTGGCTGGTTAAATATTTATTCACCTCTGGAACAACAGGTTTGAATCTCTGTGTCTGCTCTGTTTCCCCCCCATCCAGGGCAGATCAGTTAAGCGTTATGCTGTTTGTCATCTTTGGGACAGGGATTTTAAAAGCCCCGTTCTTAAAGATCTGGTGAGGAGGCTTCGGGGCTGTGGTGAACAGCTTTGCTCTGGTGCCAGTGCTGAAACACTTTTTCCTGCAGCAGCTTTTACGGGACAGCATGGTGGCTTCTGCCCCTACCCCAAAATAGCTGTTTCCTTCTCCCTAACTAGGATTTGTGAAGTTCCCTTTTTGCTTTCTCCTCTCCTGTGAGGAATGAAGGGAGTTGACTTTTTTTCCCTATGCTGAGAGGGAAGCACTGCATTGTCCAAAAGTCCCACAGCATTAACCAGGGGCTGGGGCTGTGCAGATGCTGTGTCTAAGCACACCCTGTGCCTCCGCAGTTTGTACCCGACCATGCCACAGCTCCTAAAAGTGCCATCTCATTGCCAAGAGGCAAATCTACATGCGTCAATAACAATTATTGGAGTCTGCAAACCTTGATAATGAAGGGGTAATGAGGTGTGCTTGATCAGCACAAACCTTTTCGATGTTATCTTGCAGTGAAAGCGTAATGTAGCAGCAAAAAAACCCAACAACCAAACCCAAACAAAATAGCCGTCTGACCCATCCAGGGTCCCATAACCTGGGTGCTCTAGTAGTAGTTGTAAGAAGCAGTCGTGAAGATCTGCTGGAGAGGTTTCTTTCAGATGCTTTCTAACATGCAGACTTTGATAATGTCAAGATGACATTGATTCAGGATCTTGTGTAATGAGGATTTGCACAAATAGCGATTGACAATTTCTAGTCTTGAGTGCTTAATGGAAAAAAAGATGTTGCCTTGGCTGCTTTGCTCTCTTCAAGCTGTCTTTTAGACATCAAAAGCTTGTAGAACAGGAAAAAGAGAAACGTTAAGAACAGTTTAAAAATAGTTTAATTGTATCTTCTAAAAACCTTTAGAGTTGAGAATTTAAACGGTTTCTGCCCTGTGAATATTTGCAGCTGAGTTTGAAATGGGTAAATAAGCGTAGGACTTTGAAGATTAGTTTCCATAACAAATTAAAAAAATAAATCATGTGGCATAATGTTGAATAGGTGCCATGTGTCACTGGGTGTTTTGCGTGAGGGCCAGCTTCTCCAGATCACCTGTCTGCTCCCCTGGCTCCTTGAGAAACAAATATTTTCTTTTGAATATTTTAAACTTCGTAATTCTTAAGCGTGAAACAGCCTCTGGAAAATACCCTTTTGCAGGAAGCGCCGATGATGAGCACTGTGACTTGTGCTGCCAGCGTCCACCCGCCAGCTCGCACGAATCGTCCCCGTGTGCCTTCGCCGTCGCAGTGCCCTCCCCAGCCGTGCTGACCCCGCGGCAGGGAGCTTTGGGCTGCAGCGGGCGGTGGTACCAGCAAGCGTAGAAGTCCTTGCAGGACACGGGTGTGTCAGTGCTCACTTAGGAACAGGGGGATTTGATCGTCAGAACATTGGTAGCGCACTGTACTGTGGATCCCACAGGCCACTCAGTTGAATAACTAGACCACGTTCCACTGTTGGTCTGCTCATGCCCATTAGCCAGAAATCAAAAATCACATTTTAGCCCGTGAACATCGGTGTGCCTGGGACCTCCTGCTTCAGCACTCAATATTGGATGGAAGACTTGGGAAATTTGAGGCAGATGGTGTTAATTCAGTGTGAAGCTACTTGGTCTGGCCAGCGTAGATCGCAGGAGGACTTACCTCTGTCTTCCTTCACCGAGGGCGCTTGGGCGGGACATCAGAAGCTGTTCAGATGTGCCCTCAGACAAAGCTCTCCTGTTGGGTGGGAAGAAGGTGATGTCTTGATCTGTGTCTTGGCGGTTCACAGCTGTAGCCTAAAGGTTGTACGTCACCATTTGGGTAAATCCAGCCCCACGTCCCCTGTCCCTCATCTGACGTTCCTCCTCCTGCTGTTTAAAAGGCTGCATCGAAGCCATACTTGGCGCTGGTGCTTGCTCCTGTAGTGGTGATTTCAGCTTTATTGCCTCTCTTCTGAATTGAAGTTGTGTGGCGTGTTCTGGATTGAGCAGTTGGATTTAAATTGGTTCAGCCTCGTTTGAACCATTAAGACCGAGTGTGAAGGTGCTGAGCGGCAGAGGGGCAGGACTGTCCTTCCCTTCAGGGCTTCTCTGGGTTTGCTCAGCCTCTCCTCCAGCTCCTTGCTCAGTGTTAGTCATGGTGTTTGCTCTGAGCTATGCTGCTGCTGGGTTTCTAGTTCAAAGCCCAAACCGCTCATTAAAAATATTGTGAGGTGCTAAGTAATAGGTAATTAAAAAGTAAACCATAAAACCCTCAAGCAATAACACTCATGGGTGCCCTTCTTTTTGGACTTGCTGGGAGAGTCACTGAAGAGCTTGTGTTGGGTGCCAGGGCAGCAGGCTTCCTCCAGGGAAACTGGTGACAGGTTGATAGACAGATAGGAGACAAATCCTGATGAAGCTGAAGGGTTATGACGTGCGTTATTTGCAGCATTACTGTGGGAAACTTAATTTCTTAAGGAATTAGAATCTTCTGGCTGCAACTGGATGTCCCAGGCTGGGAAGCTCTTGCTGTAGAGTCTCATCATTTCTGGGCTTCAGAAATAATGTTGGAGTCACCAAAGCTCTCCTGGGAGCCTCGTAGTGCTGGGCTGAGAGAAGAACAAAAATCAGTTTTGCTGTTTTTGAAGATGAGCGTAGTCAATTGTGAGGGTGAATGATAACACTCTTCAAAAATGTTAATTAAAATCTCGAATTTACAGTGAAAGGTGGAGATGAGGCCGACGTCTGCGCTTCATGGATGCCTCTCTGAAAAGAAGGTTGCCAAGCCAAGCAGGATGAAGTGTCTTTGCTCATAAGCCTTTCACGGTCCTACATCGTCGAGTTGTCCTGTGATACTCAGTTGCCTTTGATCTTTTCTCTTCACAGTTTGTCCACCTGCCTGCAAGTCCCAAGGCTGCACCTCTGACGGTCAGTGCTGTCACAGCGAATGTCTTGGGGACTGCACGGAGCCGAACAACCCTGAAAAATGCGTGGCTTGCCGCAACTTCTACCTTGAAGGCAAATGCGTGGACACCTGCCCCCCTGGTTACTATCGCTTTGAGGGGTGGCGTTGTGTGACCTTCAGCTTCTGCCAGGAACTGCACAACAAATGCAAAAACGCCAGGGAGTCGGGGTGTCACGTTATCCACAATAACGAGTGTGTTCATGAATGCCCGTCAGGGTACATCATGAATTCCAGCAAGTAAGTACAAGAGTCTGCAGGTAAAGAAACCGTGCTGTAGTTTTCATCCTGTGCTTTCCTCTCACTTGGACAGGGGCTTGTGTTCTGTGTCAAGACCAAGAAAAATTTCCAGCGTTGGAGCGTTTGTGACAATTACCTGGTCTGCTTTAATATGATTTGCAAACTAATACCTTGCTAATTCAAGCCATTAAAAGGGGACAGGTCTACCTACCATGTGCCAGTAGTTTGCTCTTCCCTTGGCTTCCCTTATTTCCTCTCAAATGTGGAAAAAGTGGGAAAGGGAGACTGAGAGGGAGGACAAGGAAGAGGAGAGTCCTCAAGCTGGAAGGGTCTTTCTGTAATTGAGTGGGATGAGGGAGGTGGGCAGTGGAGAGGCTTTAAACGCCCTGCTTCCCTTCTCCTCCAAAGCAGGCCTCAGACTAGAAAGCCTTGCTGTTAAGCAGAATAGGGAAAAGTTATGTCTAATGAAAAAAGCATAGCGTATTTTGAGTGGGTCGTTCTCAGAATATCTGTCCCTCGTCCCTGTAATTACTTTCATTGAGCAGGTTCAGGCTGTGCCAGACATAAATGGACAATGTAACAAACAAGCGTAGCACGAGTCACAGCAGGGAACAGCCATTCTGTCTATTCCCAGGGCTTTTTGACAAAGGAATTAAATAATTTATGTTGCTGAGCTGTTTATCACTGAAAACTTTGTTGTTTGTCTCACAATAACATTATATATTGCAATGAGTCAGATTTCCTATGAATATTGGTAGCTTTGTGCTCACATATATTTGCTCCTACCGTAATAATTTCAGGGAATTCACTGTAATAGGACTTTTGATTCCATTTCCTGTTTTGCTTTTCGAAAGAATGAACTAGCAGCCCCCAAAGTAGATATGCTGCTTGTGGAACAGCAGCCGTGCCCCTCTCCTGTGCTTGTTCCAGGCTGCGATCAGTAGGACCTCACAACACTACTCCGTGCTTTTCCTAGACCATTTATTTCTCTGAACTAGTTGGGAACACATTCTTGTGGTGTTACGACCAGGGCAAGCAATCATCTTGCTGCCATTTAAGAAGTATTTCCCCAGAGCACAAAGCACGTGCTTGATTGCCTTTTTTTTTTTTTTTTAAAAAAAAAAGCAACTTTATGTACAGTCCTTAGTCAGAGGATTCCCAGATGAATGGCCAGCTCTCCGCTCATCAATTACATGCTTGGTTAATGAACTTGGGATGGAGACTGGGCCTGGGTTTCTTGATCTTGAAGCCCCTGGTACGTATAGCACTGAGCAGCGTCGTGGTGAATGGGCTGTTCAAAATAGCCAAAATCACTTCATTCTGGTTTCTATTACGTAGGAAGGGACAGAGCAATTAGTGTTTGAAAGGTGGAAATGACAATTGAAAGAATTACCAGCAGTTACTTGGAGTTCCTAAGAGCTGCACGCTGTCAAGTGAATCCCATGAGATATAGTCAGGACACTGTCGTGTGGAATTGATTCTGAGAATTGCTGGGGCTGCCCCAGATGACATTCTGCAAAAGCATCACATCCCCTTTCCTGCCTCTCTGTTTTTCAGCTTGCACTGTACGCCCTGCGCAGGGCCCTGTCCAAAGGTTTGCGACTATGGGAAAGAGAAGACGATCGATTCGGTGACATCGGCCCAGGAGCTCCGCGGCTGCACAGTTGTTAATGGAAGCTTAGTTATAAATATCCGTGGAGGAAGTAAGTTCTGCATGAGTGAGGGGGTAGGGAGCACTGGGTGTCAGAGCAGTGAATATGACACCAGCCGTGAGCTGGGGCACTTCTCTTTTGCTTTGACCACTTTGAATCTTAGAGTGTTTCAGAAAAATACCCGCAAAGCGAAGGCTCTTGTGATGTTCATTTGGGGTTTTTTTGCTGACTGATTTTTGTAAGGTCTGATGAATTTATGTAAAGCAGTTCTATTTAATATGTTTGGGCTCCGATACCAGTGTTTCTGTGATATCAGAAAACTAAAACTGATGTTTTCCTCTCCACAGATAACATAGCAGCTGAGCTAGAAGCAAATCTTGGCTTGATAGAAGAAATCTCAGGTTACCTAAAAATTCGCCGGTCTTATGCCTTGGTTTCTCTTTCTTTTTTTCGTAAACTACATTTGATCAGAGGACAAACACTAGAAGCTGGGTGAGTTCTTTCAAAAGATACTTTATTTTAATGCCTTGAAGTATAAGGAGTGCCAGTGCTATCCGGGTGATTTGTATTGGTAAACAATTCCTAAGTTATTTTTAAGTGTTCCTGTGCCTATGGCTTGTGGCCTACTAGGGAAGATAGTTTGCATTTATTTTGCTTCAGTGTCTGAATTAGTGCATGAGAAAAAAAGTTTTCTGTGGATTCCCCCTCCACGATCCACATTTTCATTCTTTTCTTTCAGGAATTACTCATTTTATGCTTTGGACAACCAGAATCTTCGCCAGCTCTGGGACTGGAGTAAACACAACCTCACTATTGCACGAGGCAAACTCTTCTTCCATTATAATCCCAAACTGTGTTTGTCAGAAATCCACAAGATGGAGGAGATCTCTGGGACTAAGGGCCGTCAGGAAAGGAACGACATAGCCCTGAAGACGAACGGTGATCAAGCCTCATGTAAGAAAGTCTCAGAATGCAGAGATCTGCATTGTTCTCCTTTCCCTCTGCCTTGCTAACCTCACACTCTTACTTCTCTCAGCCCAGCCTATGATGTTTTTCCAGGGACTGTCCTTGTCCTTTTGGTAAAGCACCAGGCGTGTGACTTGCCACTTGCTTGTGCACTGCAGCGACGCTGTCAATATGCCATGAGTAAAAGTACTTACGGGTTCTCCACCTGGCCAGGAGCCTACCTTGCCGACTTTGGTCCTCAGAAGTTTGCTCTTTGTGTGCTCAGGTGTGAGTTTTTCAGGGTTGAGTGTATTGCTGTGCCTTTTTGAAGAGTTCAGCACAACATAACCTCAGTCCAGACTGGGACGTTGTGTTACTGCCCAGTACCTGATTAATAGTCATAATCTCCTTTTCCCATGTCGTGAGGCGACAAGACACAAGCAGAATAAACACAGTAGAGAAACAGGATTTCCTCCCATCTCTGGAGCCGTGTGAGGGAATTGCTGTAACAGTCAGATCAGTTTTTCCAACAATTTTTGTTATGCTTCTCAGAAGTTTTTAAGCTAACAGCTTTCTTCAAGAACATCGATAAGGCAATGCCTGTGTCAGCGTGACTGAGGAGCACCCACAGCGTTGCTTTATGCTCCAACTGAAGTGGTGCTACTGAAGATGGAGTTTTGCAGACGCTTACTTATGGCAATACTGCCACAAGCGCATCCCTTGGGCACCCCCGACGCTGCTGTTTCTTCCCAGTCTATGCCACACACATTCCCCCTTCCCAGTTTGTGCCAGTAAAACTCTTCCAGGGCTGCATGGCGAACCAGACTGTTGAAGTAATATGGGGTAAAAACCAGCAAGCCATTTCTGCTTTGCTGTTGTTCTTGGGTTGTGTCATCTCTCTGCTCTGGTTTATTGTCTAGCCCCACAAAGTTTTACATGCACACAGGAACAGGAGCGTGCACAGGTTGACACACTAGATGCTTAAACAGGTATTGCCACCAAAACTCCCAGCATTAATTAAACATGATTTCAGTTCCTTGATTTCAGTTCCTTGTTCTTTTCACAGCTTGCAGTGCAGCTTCGATCACCCTGTGGCTGCACTGGTTTTCTGCATTTGGCGACAGCACTGCTTAAATAACCCCTTCCCCAGTTCTGCCCTTGTTATGCTGATGTAGCTATTTGTGAACAGACTGAAAAAGTTAAGATCTTCCAGCTGAATCAGTGTCCTGATCCGGTTTGCCACATACCAGCCATGGCAGCGCAGTGGGGAGGAGGGAACGTAATGACTGCCTACCTAAAAACTGGCAGGACCAGTGAAAAAACCTACATAGAGCTGTACCCTCAGGGATGTCACAGCCCTATTTGGGGCAGAGTGAAGGAGATACAAGGAGTTAGCTGCCTGTAAAGGTCATCTCCTCCCATGAGACACTAACAAGCTCTTCCCACATTTGGGGATGAGACTGGGTTCAAACCGAGCTCTGTCGTGTGGTTGCGTGTGGCTCCTGGGCTGGCTGGTTGTTTTCTTTAAAGGCAGCTGGAGGAGACGGTTGCGTTTCTCTTTGCCAGCTTTAACTCCACTCTGCTGAGCTGTTCTCTGTGCCATCCCCCCACCTCAAACCACAGGTTGCCAGTGCGTTTGGCTTTTTGTTTGTTTTTACATTTCAAGTCTAATTTTCGCATTGGCAGCATCCTGTTTACTGAAAAAAAAAAAAATAGAAAAGGAAAAAAAAAGCCCTTGTTTGTTCTGGATGTGGTGCCAGTGAAATGACTGTTCTTCCTCCCTTGTGCAGCTATTGCAGGAATGGCAAGTCCAGTCAGAGCTACACCATTGGTCCTTCTTGGGCTGCTTGGACATACCGTATCCTAACGTGTCCCTTGAGCCTCAAAGTTCCGTCCTCCTGCAATGGGTTGTTGTCCTTCCCTCCTGCTTGCAAAGGGGCCGTGCTACTCCCGGGCACGGCTGGGAATTCACACACTTTGTTTTGGTAGCCTCTGCCTTCTATGCAAACCGTAGTACTGGGTTCAGCTGTGGAGGTCATCATGAATTTTAAAATATGTTGCCTTTAGATTTCCTACTCATTAGAATTTAGGTCAGCTCTTCCACAGGGTCATTTTCATAAAATCAGAGAAAATTTAAGCTGGCAAGAACCTTAGGAGGTCACCTATTCCAACCCCTGGCTTAAGGCAGGTATAGTGTCAAAGTAAGACAAGGTTTTAATGAGCAGCTCTTCTCAATGCCAGTGTTCTCGTATTTACCTGTGGAGAAGATAACTTCCAAGATAATTAAAAATAGAAACCACTGGTTTTTAGCACTAACAGAATTATTGTTGCTTCTCTTTTGTTGCAGGTGAAAATGAATTGCTGAAATTTTCTTCCATTAGAACATCTCATGACAAGATCCTGTTGAAGTGGGAGCCGTACTGGCCTCCTGATTTCCGTGATCTTCTGGGATTTATGCTTTTTTACAAAGAAGCGTAAGTGATCCACCATTAGGTTACAAAATAATAGCCATGCTGGGCTTCCACAAACAGCAGTTGGCATTGAAGAGTAGATATTAAACCTGCTGTGGGCATAACTGTTTAGTCTCTGTGATTGTCTGGCTCCTACACTTATTTTCCAATGTTACTTTTATGTGAAAGTGTTCATTAAGTGACTTACTGGGTTGTATATAGTCGAAATTCCTCATTTTTGAGCAATCCACGCATTAGTTGTTCCAACTATTCTAAACATATATACTGTAACCATGGAGCTTGTCGTCTCCCCACAATCTCCATGGGATGTTGAGGTATTTATTTCCTCTGAGGTGGGAAACGTTCTTTTAGAATCAAGGTTACCGAGCTGATTTTCATAAAACTGAAAATAATGAGGCTGGATTTAGTTCTTGGGATCATCTGTGGAACAGTACCTCATCTGTGATGCTGTTAGGAGACCGGGTTGCAAAGCTCCCTATGCTTCATTTTCAGAACACATACAATGAGATAGTTATACTTTCTCCAAAGGGTAGAGGATTATAACTTTCAGTGATGTCTTTAGAAACGTTGTTTTTAAAAGCTTGAATTAGGATTGGGGTTGGACAAGGTGACCTTTAAAGGTCCCTTCCAACCTAAAACATTCAATGATTCTATGATTCTGTTAACTTGAAGGTTGTTTTTTTTTTTTCTCCTTCTAAAGTCCATACCAAAATGTGACAGAGTTTGATGGCCAAGATGCTTGTGGGTCAAATAGCTGGACAGTTGTGGATGTTGACCCACCCCCACGGTCAAATGAGCCCAAAGCCCAGGCCCAGCCGGGTTGGCTTCTGAGGGGCTTGAAGCCATGGACACAGTATGCCGTGTTTGTTAAAACTCTGGTCACCTTCTCCGATGAGCGAAGAACATACGGTGCAAAGAGCGAAATCATCTACGTCCAGACCAACGCTACTGGTCAGTATCATCGAATTAACGTTGCCTTGCCAAGTGAAAAAGAAAAATAGACTTAAAAGAGTCTTCTGCCTGGGAGTTGTGGTAGTCCTGTGTCCCTGAAGCTTCCCACTGCCATTGCTGCTTCACTTTGGTAGGAAGGTGTAAATGGAAGGATGTACGCTTCCCTGCACGGGGAGATGGTGCCAACATGCCCTTTTTCCGTCAGGCTCGTGTGGTGGCGTGTGAGAGCTTGTGTGCACACGCTGGTGTAACCTGCTGCAGGATTGTTGGGTGTCAGTGGACCTGCCAGGGAGAGCACTGTTCCTCCCCAAGGAAACTTGCCTGTGTGTGTCCTTTGTTTTGTCAAGCTCTCGCAGAGCGGTGGAAGTGACCTCTGTCTCTTTTCCCACCCACGCAGTTCCATCGGTCCCATTAGATCCGATATCTGTTTCCAACTCTTCATCCCAAATCATTCTGAAGTGGAAGCCACCCTCGGAGCCCAATGGAAACATCACGCACTACCTGGTGTTCTGGCAGCAGCAGGCAGAAGACAGTGAGCTTTATGAACTTGATTACTGCTTAAAAGGTGAGTGTGTTCCTCCCTCTGTGCCTTTCAAGCTTTCTCAGAATTGTCTGGAGATTTTTCACACACTTTGGTGGTGGTCTGGATGCCTAATTTTGCTGTTTTTGAGACTGTTGTTCAAGAAACAGGCTGAGATGCAGCTGTGTTCTCCCCCGGTTCCGTTACATTATACGTTAGGCGCTGTTGCCAAGTTATGTGCAAAAGCTCTCCAAAAACATTTTTTCTACGAAGTCATCAGATACTTTTTCCTTTGGGGATCTCCCTTCTGCACTTGTTCCTTTTAAATGGAGTAATAAGTTATGGAGACAGTAAAGGAAAAAATTTCCATGCTTCTGGAAATCAGTGGCCGAGTTCTGAAGGCGTCCTGTGCCTGTTTCGGAATTCTTTCAGAACAGAGTTTCACTGAGGACTCCAAAATCTTACCTGCTGTCCTGGGCTACCTAAACTGAGGAAAACTGGGGTAGAACTCTGTTTGACTACAGCAGCATCTGAGCTCTGTTTCAAAGACAGCACCGTTTTGAATCAAAGGCCTGTCATAAGAGGAAAATCTGCTCGGCTTTTATTGCTGAAAGCTCGGGATGCCCAAATCTGCTTTGAATCTTGTGTAGACTAGTTTTGGATCTTTGTAGGATCAAACATCTGCTTCTGCCTGTCAGGCGTGAGTGAAACTGAAATTGTTTTGTCCGTAGGACTAAAACTGCCCTCAAGGACGTGGTCTCCTCCTTTTGAGTCCGAAGACCCTCAGAAGTATAATCAAAGTGAAAATGAGGATGTCAGCGGAGAATGTTGTTCCTGTCCTAAAACAGACTCTCAAATACAAAAGGAGCTGGAAGAGTCTGCTTTCCGCAAGACATTTGAGAACTATCTCCACAATGAGGTTTTTGTCCCCAGGTACGAATATCACACGGTACTGCCCAGGTAGTCGGGAGGCAGGGAAATGTCATTGATTAGTAAACCGAAGTGTTGGACTGGACACACGGCCGCATTGCCAGTCTCTCTGGGCTTCCACGAGGCTGTCTAGTCCAGCTGAATGTCCGTGGCGGAGTCTGGTGAGAGCTGAGCACCTACAACTGGTGTTATTACAGATTTGGAAGGTCCTGCTCTTGTTTCCTGTCCCTGAATTCTCCTCAGCTTGAGCATGAAGTGAGAATCCTTAACAAATAGCTAAATGCCTGCAGCTCATTTAAACTTGTATGGTGCCAAAAACAGCTTTTTTTTTTTTTTTCTGTCCTCAAATTTTGTGGTCTAGCGCTTCATCCAGTTGAAAAGAAAGGAAAAGAAAAAGGGAAGTTTACCATGCCACAGCCTTGTCCTTTAGCGCGGTATTTGCGGTCTTCCTTGCACTTAGTCTGGGAAATACCTCCAATACCATGAGGAATGCAATGGCTGTGGGTGGTGAATGTCCTGTTTTGAATGGCACACACAGTGTCACATTAAGTGGTGTTGAATGTCTTCACACTTCATAGGCAACTTACAGAGGAAGCACTGGGAATCAGGGTAGAGCCTGTAATGATTCACCCTCTTCACCGTCACGCATTTTGTGCTCTCAATTTATTCTCTGCTTACTGCCCTCAGCTAACAAATACTTATTTTCAGCTGCTTGACAAAAGCTACGTTGCTGCACTGAAGATTTTTTTTTATTGTTGAGTGTGTCAGACACTGTCTCTTCCCTGCGAGCCTGGTGTGGTGCCTGCGGTTGTCACCTGGAAGCTTGTGCAGAGTCGCTCATTTTGGGTTTCTTTGCTGTCAGTGCTGATCAGAAGGACAAGTTTCAGTGTGCAAAATAATGCCAGGACACGACATATTCAAAAGCAGAGAAGAACCAAGCCGTGTACAAAAGCCGGACTCCCCTTGATGTAGGCAGACAATTCTGACAATCTGATTTCTTTTTTCTTTTTTTTTTTTTTTCTTCTTTTTTTTTTCTGATTTTATTGTGCAGCCGGCCCAGGATGCTTCTCAGGCCAGTTTGTGCGGTATGTATTTTAGGAAGAAACCAATCACCAGGATGTGCCACCTTGTCAGCCTGCTCAGGAAGAAATCTCCACTTCCCTAGGCTAACTAACCCTTTGAATACAAGCCCCTTTTGCTGTTGCAAGTCAGCAGTGAAGATACAGCCCTGCTGACGGGCATCCTGCTTGTCGTTTCTGACAAGCTCCAGGCTGTTGCAACGTAAATCAGAAGTAGTTTTCCTGTGAATACTGTGCCTCTCACCTGCTCGTAGGGCAGCCTGTCCAGAGCCTGACAACTGAACATGAAGTGTGTGTTACTTCAGGTGCTTTTTATGTGGCTCCCGATAGTTTGCTGACCTCTCTCGAGGTCTCTGTGGACTCCCCTAGAGGTAAGAAGCCTTCTGCCAGTCATGGGGAGGAATCTCACAGATGTGGCCGGCAGGGAGTATGAGATGGCAGGGGTGCAGAAGACAGAGCAGTTGAGAAGTTGCTCCCCCTATGTCTTGTCTCCTGCTTTTCCATGTACCATGTTTATCTCCTCCTGTCCTGTTCCCAGCTCTCTGAGCCCCCTGCAGCGTCCGGTCCGTACGAGGCTCTGCCGCAGATCTGCCGCGCTCTGTCTTAGCCCAGGTCTGATCTCACCTGACCTGCTCTGGAAATCACAAAAGCTGTTCCTTAGTGTGGTTGATTAGCTACTCTAGCAGATGCTATCACAAGTTTTGGGGATTAATTAGCTCTGGCATTAGCAAGGCAAACGAGCTTCTACATGCTTCTTGCCATGCCCACCGTCGCAGTCAGAGCTAGCAGCTGTCGGTACACCACGTGCTTCGTAACCTCCCTTTGTAGCTGAACAAAGTGGCCATCAGAAGCTGATGCTTTGTTTCTTCTTTCCTGTGTTATTTGCTCTCCTATTGGAACGAGTTTTGCACAGATTGGAGCAGGTGGGTGATTGCACGCTGGAACAGGTTGCCCAGGGAGGTTGTGGAGTCTCCGTCCTTGGGGATATTCAGAACCTGACCCGACGTGGTCCTGAGCAACCTGCTGTAGCTGCCCCTGCTTTGAGCAGGGGGTGGATGAGACAATGTCCAGAGGTGCCTTCCAACCTCAACCACTCCATGATTCTGTGGAAAGCATGGAAAGATTTCAAAAGTAGTAAAAGTCCTGAGAGGCAGAGGGGAACTAAGTGGCTGCTATTCAGGATGTAATTTCGTGTGTGCTCTCCACCGCTACGACTGCAGAAGCAGCGCTCTCACTCTCTGTCTCTGTCCTCTCTCTCTGTCACACACACACTTGTGCCGTTACAAGTATTAGGGGGTTACAGAGCGAACAAGATCTGGGAAATGGCTCACAGTAAAAGTGACTTTTTCCCTGGGTTTCCCAGTTCAATCCAGTTAATTGCACAGACAAATACATAAATGCTTTTACCAGCACAAGGCGGAAGACAGGACAGCGGTTCCTGGGCTAGTTGCAGGTGTCTGGAAGAACTTAGCTTAAGCTAGCTGAGGCGTTTTTAAAATCCCCCAGCACAGGCCATATTGCATGTGATGAGTTGTCGTTCCCATCCTTCTGTGAACTCACACCCGCTGGTCGCCTCTGACAGGAGGAGGAGAAGGAACCTGAGTCTGAGTCTGTCACAGGGAAGGTCGTTGGGGTTGCTGAAATGGCCATGAGTGGCAATGAAAGTTGCCCTGGAACAACCATGGGAAGACGTCAGATGTTTGAAAATACAGAGAATTTGACAAGAAAATTGCTGCAAATCCAGGAGGATAAATGTGGGAAGATTGGGGTTTACAGCTTCAGAAGTTTTTCTTGCTTTCCGTTACTTGAGAAAGGAGAAGTCGTTCTTGCATTTTACTCAGTGTTGCATCAGTGGTCAAATTACTGTTTTACTTGTGAAAAACAAAATTCTCTCAAACATGAGCAACAGCTGAATCCACACTTTGTAAACAGTGGCGTGTAGCTTTGCTTTTAAGTCCAAACAAGGTTCTGGTTGACCATAAAGAATCTTTCCAAGGGAGGGAGGTGGCATGACCCAGAGCTGGGTCTCTGAACTCTGACCCATTGTTAGGGGACACTGTTCAGAACAATGCACAAGCTGAGAGAACAGCAGCTCCAAAATCAGTTAATTAGTAATTAGAGAAAGAGCAAACTAGAAACCAGAATGTGCTGTGCTGTGCCTGGCATCCCATTTTGTCATCAGGTGGATGAATATGTTTACGCCGTTGTGTACAACCCGATGTTTATTTTGAGGAAATACTGAAGATCTTTCCAGCTGGTTGTATTTGCTGGGGGAGGAGAAATAACACCAGGGAGTGGAGCTGGGGGTTGCAGACAAAGACCTGATCTGTGCCACCCCCCGCTGTAGCTGTAGTTGGCCAATCATTTGCCCGGCAGTCGGAGGGTGGCAGCGGAAAGTTCAGTTCAGCAGCAAAGAGTTGCTTCAACAGCTTGTTACATTTTTAGAGGCTGGAGGTGCCTCAAGTGTGGGTTCAGTTCAGGTCACTCTTTGTACCCTTTAATAGCTGCACACGCCTGCACACACACAAAAAGATCATCATCCCCTTAAAATACACGGTCCGGCTTTCAAATGGCATCGATTCCTTTTGTGTAACTGAATACTATTACTGATTCACCACCTTGGTTAGTTCCCAACCTGGAACTCCTCGTGGCAGATGTGTGGCAGGGTGTAAAGTGTTAGAACGAGGAGTTTTGGTTTGGTACTTGTTCCTTTTTTTTTTTTTTTCCCCTGAGAAAATGAAATTTGTGAATGTTTCTTAATTCTGTTGAATTTATTCTGTTTATTTACTGACAAAATCTGACATTAAAGTTGTCTGATAGCGCTCGCTTGCAAACAGGGGAGTTGGCGCTGCCCGTTCTGTTTTTACGACTGCACAGACTTGATTTTCAGACTGAAGCGCAGTAATTTGAAAGGCAATATTTGGTTAACAAACCCACACAACTAATACATCGTGTGAATCTGTGAGTTTTAAATGTGTCTGTTGAAAAGAACAACACAACTAATACATCGTGTGAATCTGTGAGTCTGTTGAAAAGAACGTGATAGATTTGGTCTGTCAGGAAAAGGTTAAAATTACCTGTCTACCTGTCTATCTCAATCCAGCCTTAGGGTTCAGGGTGGCAGATGTATTCCAGTGAGCTGTGAAACTGGTCTTACGCTTTATAAATGCAAGTTTATGACACTTGGAATATGTGGCACATCTGAGGTCGTCAGAGTCGGGGGCTGTGATATGACCTCGTTTGCTGGAAGCTAGAATGTGTAGGAGATGAACTCCAAAGCATTGCAACACTGTGCCAGGCATCCGTGAGGCAACCTAGCGAAGTTGTGTTCAGCTGAGAGGATCCAGAAGAACTTGAGTTCTCAAGCAAATACGTTAGACTTGGGTTTTTTTTTTTAATTTTTATTATCGTTAATTTTTTCCCCTGTATGAAGTGCAGGGAGAGAGTCTCAGGGGTACGTAGCGTTAAAAAGCTGTGTGTATTGCAGGGGGTAAGACAGATAGCTTGTTTTAAAAACAAACCCAAAGAATCCTGCGTTTCTGCGTTCCATTGCAAATACGAGGCTTGAATTTGAGTTTTCAGAGGCACGCTGAGCTCTCCCGTTTTAACTCTTCCTTTTCAGATCAGTGTGTTTCCACTGAACGTAACCAGTGACGTTGTAACCTGTGTTATTTAATAGGCCATCGAGGAAACGAAGAGACCTGGGCGCTGTGGCAAATGCCACTGTGGTGATACCCACCGTCGCGTCCTCTCCGAACAATTCTGCCGCGGCATCCGACAGCGCGGAGGAACAGAAACCTTTTGAAAAAGTGAAGTCGAAGGAGTCGTTGGTGATCTCGGGCCTGCGGCATTTCACCGGGTACCGCATCGAGCTCCACGCTTGTAACCACGATGCTCAGGAGTCCCGGTGCAGCGTCGCAGCTTACGTCAGTGCCAGGACCATGCCGGAAGGTAATTGTCTTCCCGAGCTTTGCTTCGGGTTGGCGACCGTCCTCAAAATGCTGCTTGTCCTATGGGAGCCAGCGCGGTACAGCAACATCGGGTAGGACTTGGGGTATCTGCGTGTCCTGATGGGAAGGGATGATGGGTGAAGTATTGGCAGGTTTTAATTTTGCCAAAGACGTGAAATAAAGCTATTATTATGATTCTAGCTAAGGCTGATGACATCGTCGGTCCGGTTTCCCATGAACTGGTTGAAAAAAATACCGTGCATTTGAAGTGGCAAGAACCGAAGGAGCCAAATGGTCTTATTGTGCTGTATGAAGTGAATTATGGACGACTCGGGGAGACAGAGGTGAGAATTTCTGCTTGTCCCTTAACGCAGCACGTCTGGAGAAGTAGCTGCGCCTGCGAGGCTGGGACTGTTCAGTCTTTCACAGCCCTCGTGCGTACGGTGGTGTGTCCTCTCTGGCTTCCTTGTGCACGAACCGACGTGACGTGAAACTTCACTAGTGAGTTTGTCTCCTCTGGAATTCTGTCTGGGGTGACATCGAGAACTAAAAATCTGCCTCTACGGTGCCTGTTTGCCAAACAAGCGTATTGAAGTTGCCCGCTTTCTGTGTGAGTTTCTTGAGGAATTTGTTTCACAGAAGGACAGAAACGGTACATCTGAATTGAAGTTGCTTAGAGAAATCAAGAAAGCGTTGAGCGGCCGGAGAGCTTGCGGGCAGCGCTGCTGCCCGTGCAGAATGCCAGCGCCGTGTGGGCAGGAGGGCTTGCCAGCCCCGGTCGGGTTTCAGGGCTGAGGTCTAGTACAGCAAATGGCATCTGCTCTCTGTAATCTGAACTACTAAACTGTAAAATGCAAATCCAGGACAAACCACTATATTGGAGGAGACCTCAGCTTGTGAAAGCCCTATTTGTGTACGTTTGCCAGACCAGGAGGCGAGGTAGAAATCCCAGTATGCTGCTACGGAGCTGTGGGTTGTTGCAGAGGTAGCGTGATGCAGCCTTCCTCTTCCCTCCTCCCGCAGGAAGCCCACTACTGCGTTTCCCGCAAGCATTTTGCCAGCGAGCAGGGCTGTAAACTCCGTGGACTGCAGCCTGGAAACTACAGTGTCCGCATACGAGCTACGTCGCTGGCTGGAAACGGCTCATGGACAGAACCTACGTATTTTTATGTGGCTGATTATTGTGAGTTCAGTTGATTTTCAACATTTAATTCCTGATAGAAACCCGGGTTATTTTTGGAAGGTGAGGGTTTAGCAAGCAGTGTGCTGAGAACCGTAGGGGCTCATAAAATATTTACCAGTACATCTGCTTTCAAGAAACTGAAATTACTTAGAAACGTGTCGCTTTTCTTCCTGAGTTCTCATACTGACCAGCCCCGCATCCTGTATCTGAAATGGCCTTTAGTTGCAGGTTTGTTCCTGTTTATTCAAGGGGGAGATTTTATGGAGGGGGAGATTTGGATTTTGGACTTGTGTAATACCTCCAACTCTCTCTTTCTCTTTTAGTGAATGCTCAGCCTAATATTGCTGTTATAATTGTTCCGATTATTTTTGCCATAATAATTGCTGGAATTATTGGAGCTGCTTACGTGCTTGTGAAAAAGAGGTGAGTGCAATTTTATGTCGTTTTCACCACAACAAGCAAAACTTACATCCAAAGGTTCTGTTTATTTGTTGGGAGTAAGTCTGTGTTTATTTCCTAATTTAGATAATGACTGCAACGTTAGTTTAGGAAATATTTTGTGACTTTGGAAGTTGGGACCGTTTGTGTTAATTCCCATACTTGCTTTGGGAATTAATCAAACTGCTTTCCCTTCTGATGTGTCAAAGGCTGCAACGTGCTGAAGAATTTGTGTCTCTCTTCCAGGCAAACCGAAGGACCAACCGGACCACTCTACGCATCCTCTAACCCGGAATATCTCAGCGCCAGTGATGGTGAGAGCAACAAGGGCTTCCTTCAGTCGCTTATTTCTTGTGTAGTCCTTCAGTGCGGCAGGATGGGATTGGTGGTGTCTTTCTGGAGTTCTCTAGTCTGTCTTTTTTTTTATTTATACCCATAGTGTCCTGTGGCAGTGCTAAACAAGGCTGCTACAGAAATGTCTTGTTCCAAAAGATACTTGCTCAATTCAGAAATGCTTCCCTCTGCTCAACAGTCTATGTCCCCGACGAGTGGGAGGTTCCACGAGACAAGATCACTCTGCTCCGAGAGCTGGGACAGGGCTCCTTCGGCATGGTGTACGAGGGAATCGCCAAGGACGTAGTGAAGGGAGAGCCGGAGACTCGAGTCGCTGTGAAAACTGTCAACGAATCAGCCAGCCTCCGCGAGCGCATCGAGTTCTTAAACGAAGCTTCCGTGATGAAAGGGTTCAGCTGCCATCATGTGGTAAGTGTCGCTGGGCGCCTCGGGTGATTAGCAAGTCCCATCCCGTCCCTGATCGTTCCTTAGGGCTTTCAGAGCTTGACGCTCGGGTTGGAGAGCAGCCCGGCTCAGAGGCAGTTGATCAAAAAGAGGTGGGATCTTCCCCTGCCACGGTTCATAAAATGCTTCCTGTTGCTTTTTGGGCTTTCAAAACTCAGCGTGTACGTGGGGCCTCGTGGGGCTGTGCTGAGCTCCTTCTCTTTGGCTTTGCTGCAACCCCCGCTTTTCATAGCTGGGCTCTTCCCAGTGTGGACGCAGCCTTCAGGGAACATCTCACTTATTTTCCAGGTTCGCCTCCTCGGGGTGGTCTCGAAAGGGCAACCGACCCTGGTGGTCATGGAGTTAATGGCACATGGAGATTTGAAAAGTTACCTCCGCTCTCTGAGACCTGATGCCGAGGTAAAGACAAGGAGAGAGGGATCTGTTGTGCCACAGAGCGACTTGATTCGGTGGTTAATTCTTGTTTCTTTATTGTAGAACAACCCCGGTCGTCCGCCGCCGACCCTGAGAGAAATGATCCAGATGGCTGCCGAGATCGCTGACGGCATGGCCTACCTGAACGCCAAAAAATTTGTTCACAGAGATCTCGCGGCTCGTAACTGTATGGTTGCAGAAGACTTCACCGTAAAAATCGGAGGTATGTCGTGTGTGATCAGAGGGTGATCCTGTGGGTCCTGTTTGTTGTAAAGGCAAATATACGAATCCCAGGACCGATGGGGCAAACACAGGTGCCTTTGGGAGCGCAGCACCGTCCTCTTTTTCTTACCTGTGAAAGAGCTGCGTGGACTTCAGTAAGAAAATCATCTCCTTTAGAGCCAGAGCAGCTTTTCCCACCTTCTCTATTCCCAAACCTCTACCCAAAAAGTTGATTGCCTTTCCAGCCTAAGCTGCCTGGGGTTATCTCACTGGCTTTGCTTTCACGAGGATGGTGACAAAGAAGGTGTTGGGTACAACAGACCGAGTGTTGGTTATCCTGTTGTGAGGTCAGGTGCCTTTTAAAAGAAGTCATTTATCCTCCACAAGAACCAGTTTTTAACCCAAACCCTTTTAGAAATAAGTAAATACAACATTTAAAAATAAACCAAAACCCCACAGCCTGATGGCTTTTCAGACCTCTTTGGACTTACAGCCAAGGCAGCGGGATTGCCGGGCAAAGAGAGCTCTGTTTTATTTAAAGAGGATGAATAAAAAATAACGTTTAGAATAGAAGCTGTCACTAAAAATTTTAACTCTGGAGTGTCTATCACGGCTCTGTAGAAAAATACAGGGAGAAGGAAAATGTTTCGAATGTTAATCACAGGGGGACAAATGACTGCAAGTGGGGCCACAGGGGGGTGCGTGAAAATAGCCCGGTGTCAAAAGAAGGAAACGTTCGTCTGGAGATGTTGCTCAGTAAAAGCAGCACGGAGGGAGACGTGTAACACATCCAATTGCTTTTCCCAGACTTTGGCATGACCAGAGATATCTATGAGACGGATTATTACCGTAAAGGAGGCAAAGGACTGCTGCCTGTGCGGTGGATGGCCCCCGAATCGTTAAAGGACGGTGTTTTCACTGCTTATTCCGACGTGTGGTAAGTTGTACGCTGCAATGCAGCTCGAGGGCTCACTGTTTTAACACACATAGTTTAAATTGTGAGTTGCTGACTTCTTCGGAGTGCAGACAAAACAAAAGCGTTGCTTTGAAACCCTCTTCTTTAAAATATAGTCGTGTTCTTTTGGAGTATGTGTTCTCCAAAATGAGACACTCACTTGTAGATCTCCAGGATGGTTTATTCTCACCAGGAGTCTTCTCTCTCTTAGGTCGTTTGGTGTTGTCCTCTGGGAAATAAGCAGTTTAGCAGAGCAGCCGTACCAGGGACTCTCCAACGAGCAGGTGCTAAAGTTCGTAATGGATGGAGGATACCTGGATCAGCCGGACAACTGTCCGGAGAGGCTGTAAGTAGTAAAGCTGGGGCCAAGCGAGCAAGCTGCGCTCTTCAGCTGACGTGTGGCCAGCAAAGGGGGCCCCACATGCGGCACCTCTTAACCGCTGCTGTGCTGGGGAGGAACAAAATCGAGTTTAGTAAAGCACCTCTCGCAGAAATCCAACCGACGCATCCGTAGCCATCCAGGAATTCAAGCTGAGCCCTACGCCAGCCTATTTCCCTAGAAGGGAAATTAAACCAACCTCAGCCTTACGTTGTGAGTACAGACTTAAGAGGAGGAAGTACAAAGCACAGGAAAAGCTTAAAATACAAATGAGCGCTGTATCAGCTCCCCAAACGAAAAGGTTTTCCTCCGCTCCGGACTAGTGGATGGCAGTTGGCTTATGTCAGGTGGCAAAGCCTGGCCACCCTCCAGCCACATCTGCACCCTCGTGGCTACAGAGGCTGGAGAGCAGCTTGTTAATCCCAGGTCTGCCGAGGTTTTCTGTAATTAATCTCTCTGTATTACATAAATAGTCTTGAGGATTCGCAGCAACTTTTTACTGCTGATCTTCAGAAATCCCAATTCATGGCTAATGAGGAGGGAGAGGCAGGAGAGCGCGGTGCTGAGCCAAGAGCTGTTTGTCATGTCCGAGGCCTTTTCGTTTCTGTTCCAGACTTGTTGCCCCACTTAAAGTACAAGGCTAGGGAGAAAAGAGGGCACTGTGTGAGGACAGTGAAAAACACCTCGCAGAGATCACAGACTGAAGCCAGACGTGACTCCTGCGCCGAGGTTAAGGGTTGTTCTCTGCAGCTGCTCGTGACGTTTACTGTCTGGAGGTTGCTGCCTCCCCAGGTCTGCCAGCACGGCTCCATACCCAGATGCTCCCTAAGCTGCTTCCCTCAGAGTAATTAAAAAAAAAAATCCTGTTAGTGGGTGTTTAACCAGAGCTGGGGAGTTTTGGCAGCAGGGTGTACGGAGCCGCTGCCGAAGCAGCGTACGGCAGTGAGGGGCAACCTGGTAACCTCTTACCCCAGCCCGCTCCTGGCCAAAACGGCGCTTCCAGGGTCAAAAAATAAATGTGTTTTGTGAGTATCCGTATGAAAAAAGCCTGCTGTCCTGGACACTTGTCTCTTGTGGCCAGTTACAAACTCCAGTTTGAAACTTTATTTGTACTTGTAAGTTCTGTCTCCGTGGTGTCTGATAACATATGACCTCTTGCCGCAGCCTTTCTTTTGGGTGGGATGTTTACAGGACCTCTGTCCTCCACACAGCCTTCTATTTTCCTTGAAGTTTCAGGAGCTTTGTTATCTTTCAGGCTGAGTTAAAATTAAAATTGAATGAGTTAAAAAATGGTGACGTGGCTGTAAGCGCGTGTGCGCGTACACCGAGTGTGTGAACTGCAGCCCTGTTTCCTTCGGGAGCCGAGTTAAGAACAATTGAAGGAATTGGAAAGAATTTTTGATCTAGACAGAAATAGAGAAAAAGGAGTGTCAGGGTCTGCGGGCAAAAGCGGAGACTGGAAAGAGAAGAAACAACTGGGCTGGGGTGTCGGAGGAGTGGCGTGGGCGGCGGGTGGGCTGACGTGGATACGGTCTTGGTCTGTGCCAGCCCCGCTCACGTGAAACTGTTTCTTCCTGCTCCTGACTCCTGTTTGTCCTGACCTAGGCACAGCCTGATGCAGATGTGTTGGCAGTACAACCCTAAAATGCGCCCCACCTTCATCGAGATCATCGAGATGCTGAAGGAGGACTTGCACCCCAGCTTCCACGAGGTCTCGTTCTTCTACAGCGAGGAGAACAAACCTCTGGAAACAGAGGAGTACGAGATGGACTTTGAGAACATGGAGAGCATTCCCCTCGATCCCTCCTCGTACTCGCAGAGGGACAAAGTCCTGGGGCGGGACAATGGACCCTCCATGGCCCTCAAGGGGAACTACGAAGAGCACATACCTTACACTCACATGAATGGTGGCAAGAAAAATGGGCGGATTCTCTCCATGCCCAGGTCAAGTCCTTCCTAACGCTTCCTGTTTGGCCCAAGGGTTATGTCTGCTTTTTTTTCCCCCCTCCACAAATCTCAGGACTCTCGTTATTGCTGCCACAGTGTATGACACACAGCTACAAACTCTTCAGATTTTTAATCATCTTATGATTAATACTTTTTTTTTTTTTTTGCCAAGTTGACTGGTTGTCAGTGGACTTATCTGTGAACATAAATGGAAGAGGTTTCCATGGCTGCTGTCCCTCCTGTAACCATGGCTTCAAAACAGGAAGCGACCGTGAGAGTTCAACTGAAGGAGGAGCATCCACGTTTGCCAACAGGAGACATGAAACTTGCTGGTATCTGAGCTACAGCGTAACGGTGCGGAACAAAACTCCTGCAGGACAAAAGCATTTCCAGTAGAATTCCAGGCTTTTGGGCATACTCGTCACTACAGCTGAAGGATTCGACACATCAGTGGGACGCGCCAGATCCTCAGATTGACCAATAGCTGCTGCTTTCGTACTTTTTAAAATGGGTTAAATCCCAGGGGTGCGTGTGTGTGTGTGTGTGTGTGCGCGCGCGCGTGTGTGCAGTATATATATGTGGGGTGTATATGTATAGCAAAATATACACTTTTTTTTTGTACATAAGTTTTGTATGTTCTCACAGAAGCTTTCCTCTTCTCGGAAGTGTGTACTTATCTTTTTTTTCCCATTTCCCTGGAGTGACTGAATCCTAAACAGATTATTTTTATACTGAGGACTCTTGGGAGTAGGTTTTCTCTCATTAAGAAATGAGGAAAACGTGCTGGGAGCCAAAGGAGCAGAAATCTGAGATTTGTGGGTACTTTCAAGACCAAACGAAGTAGGAGTCCCCTGACCTGAGATACGGAGTTTTCTGTCCTTACAGCATTGAGTATATATATTGTTTGTTGTAACATATTTAAAAGTGTCTTTAGTTTAAATCTTAACTTCATCTAAATTATTGACTGTTTATGATCCTTTCGGGGAGGGGAGAATTTGGGGGATTGTTTGGTCTTAAAGTGGTCCAAAGATTTCAGAATGAACTAATTTTAGCCGATTACCCTTTTAGGAGCTATGAAGCACATGTTGAGTTTATACTTGACAAGGCTTTATACTACAGTTTCATGATTTATACGATGCAGTCAGTTGGCTCCAATCGAAGCCCTGAGATAAAGTAGTTGGGGCTTCACTTGATTGTTGGGGGCTGCAGGACACCAGAACATCCCAGTCCCGAGTCCCGCTACCCCTTTGCCCCCCGCGTCCCTCGCTTCGCCTTCTGTGCGCGCCGGGCCGCAGGAGCAGCCGGCAAGAGAGGACGAGCAAGGACTCGAACCGAAAAAGGAGACGCTAAAGCCACTCTGCCGGGGGGGGGAGAGTCCAAGGCTCTTGGCTCTGCACGGGAAGCAGAAGCTGAACGTGACTGTGGGGAGCTCCCCGCTGCCTGGCTGCTGCTGCTCGGGCGTCTGGCCTCGTGCTGCCTGCAGGCCTTCGACGTTCTCCTGAGACACCCGCGCTGCTGCGTCCCGCAGACTTCCCCGGGCGCCCGCGTTAGCCGCTGCTTTCAGCTCGCCGGGATGTGCCAGCTTTCGCCGTCTGGACTGTGCTTTGTTTCGCTGCCGTTTGCGTCAAAGACAGAGCTGATGAGCTGTAAGAAAATAATGGTGAAACTAAACGTGTCTCGTAGTGATGAGGGAGCGTGCTGGCAGGGAGAAGTGCTAAAGAAGAGCTGCTGATGGATGGTGTAGGCCCTTGTCATGCAGGAGGTGGTTTTAAAAGCGGGGAGAGGTGCTCAGTCCTCCACTTCTCCTCCTGGAGAAGTCCGAGAGCCAGTTGGTGCTCTCTGCCAGGAGAAAACGAGATTTTCCCAACTCGGTGAGAGGGAGGAGGCCAAGCTGGTGCGTGGCTGCTTATTCCCCCCCGGGCGGTGCTGCTGATTCCTCCCGGTAACCGAACAGGAGGGGCTGGAGTCCGTAGGGAAGCGCCTCTCGCAGCCCGCTCGGCTCAGCCACGCTGGAGCTGAACCCACAGCAGGGGAGGACGACGGACTCCTCGCACCGCCACGAGGTGTCGGGCCTTTGCGCTGGCCGAATCTGGGCGGTTCGGACAAAGGCGGAGGGTGCAGGGCGCGAAGGTGGATGGAAAATACACAGTCCAGGCAGGGGTGAGAACCTTCGCTTTCAAAAGGCCTCGTTTACATTTCTTCTGCTTTACAAAGTAGTAACTGTTTAGCAGCTCTGTACTACACTGCAGGAAAGAAGACATATTCTCACACTTTTCTAAGGAAGAGAAGTTTTTCTTATTAGAATTTTTTAATTTATTTTAATATATAAAACACTGTAAAAAAGAAAAAAAAGAAACAATTTGTTTTCTTAAACACGCGGAACATGTCAATTTGTATCCGTAAAATCTCGGCAGGTGGATGTGGTGGGATTATTTTTGTCCTGTTCTGGTGCAGTCTACCTCAGTGTTTCTTAAGGCTCTTTTTAATACTACGCACCTCTAAACCTGTTTAAATATTCTGGTCTGGACCTATTGTGGATCAGGGAAAATCAATATCAGCTGATTCCAATACTAGGGACCATTCACCGGAGGGAAGGGGTAGGGGAAGGGCTCGTCACTGTTTATTGCTAATCTGAGCAGTAGTGACCGAAGGAACCAAGTTACAGATTTGGATCTGATGTTCTGGTGTCATCCTTGTGGTTGTGTTTGGGTAAAAAAAAACCTCAAAACACAGAAGAGTCATTAAAATGTTTGGACTTTAGTGAACTAATGACCTAAAAGGAGCAGCCTGCTTCCTTCTGGAGCAGTGTTTGCCAGCACCAGCAGGTCTGTGACCAGCCCTTGGTGTCAGAGTTAGACGGGGGTCTCGTGGTCGCTGCCCATCTCACGGGTAACCCCGAGTCCTGCCTCTGGCCTCCTGAAATAAACCTTCCCCAGCACGTCCCTGTTTTGGTAACGTTTTGAATGGCAGTGATCGTAACTGTGGGAATAGAAGAGCTTTTTTTTGTATAAACAACCCTTGGAACCTTGTATTGGGTCTGGCTTTTCAGTGCCGTTGATATTGGTTGGCCCTCTGAGCACACACGATTTGCAGCGCTCGGATCACGGAACGAGGGAATCGTGTTTCGCGTTGTGGACGGACCCTCCGTTCCCGTGGCTCACGTTGTCGTCTTCACTCCGCGGTTGTTCATCCCCGATACTGTCTGTAACGATTATTCCAGTCATCCCTCCTACATCGTGCCAAGGGTGAGGAGAGGCGGATGGTACGAGTGGCGAGTCTTTCCCCTATTTAAAAACCAGTAACAGTAGCAGTTGCCGCTCGGGGCTGTTAAAGGTTACGCTCACTTGGCTGTAGAATTGGGAGGAATAAACAAACATCACCCATGAAGCCCAGCTCTCACTTTGGGAAAACCCTTCGCTCTCAGCCCACAGCTCGTGCTTCGGTCCCTGCTGTTGGAAGATCCTCGCCCTGGCGGTGCTGAGGTCCCTCCCTTGGATCTCGCTGAGCCCTGGCCGGAGCCCCCGGGCCCCGCGCTGGAGTTGAGGTGGCACGTGCTGGCCAGAACCTTCTCGCTGCGGGGTGCTGCCAAGGGCTCCCGCCCAGCAAGGTGTTGCTGTGCGAGCGAGAGCTGTGCCTTGGGTGTGGGAGCTGCTGCCGTTCGCTCCGGCCGAGTCCCTGTCGGGGTGAGGATCCCGCAGCTCCAGCGGGAGCCCGAGCACTTGCTGCTGCTGCTGCTGCTGCTGAGGAGCCAAGCGACAGTGCAGGGAAGCAGGTGGGATGGCTGGAGGAGGGCAGCTGTGCCCGGCAGGTGGGAAGCTCGCTCTTTTCTTGAGATAGTGTTTGTTGGAGAGTTGAGTCCTGCCCTTTGTGGGCAGAGAGCTTCCCGCTGGCAGCACAGGGCAGCAGGACAGACTCCTCAGCCTGTTCCAGAGCAGCTGTAGCCTCCTGGGCACGGTCTGGGGACACGGGGGTACCAACAACCAGCCAGAACATCACCGCCTCTAAAGCTGGTGAAGCAGGAGGGATAAGAAACAGCTCTCTGTGCTCTGCTGTGTTTTGACTGAGCAAATGTTCGAAGCGTGGGACTGGAGAGGTTTCTCAGAAACGTTTGCAAGTTAAATTCAGTTGCCACTTCCTGACCGCCTCTTGCCAATCTGGTGCTTCTCTCGCAGCACAGCGCGGCGCCGCAAAGCTCGGCTCCTGGGTGAGAAACGCGTCCGTCGTGGCTGCTTGTAAATATTGTGTTGTAAAATAGAAGAGCTAATAACGTCACCTCTGTGCCAGCACCGGGTTGGGCAAGGTGACAGGAGCTAGACCGTGCTGCAACAAGGAGATTTGCTGTTGATTGTAAAGCAGCTGTGTTGGTGTGGAAGAGGCTGCTCTTCGGTAGCTAAAGGGTACTCTTAACTTATGGGTAGTGTGTCTCTTTCCTCCTAAACTTGTATTATAGCGATGGGACGCTTTGCTTAAGTTTAGTGTGTTGCATATAACGTCGGTATCTCTTTGGAAAAATCTCAGAGTCGCTTACTGTGTTACTGACCGAACTACGATGGAGGCAAATAGGAAAAGACAGGAGCGAGAAGGGGGCTGTGTCGGTTACTCGTGAGCCTCCGTTTTAGGGGAGGGAGAGAGGCGCTCGAGTTCCCTCTAAACATCACTGTGATACAAAGACGGACCCTGAGGTACTCCGGGCCCTTCACTGCGAGCAGTGATTGCTGATCCCAAGACTGGAACCTTGTTTTACAAGTCAGAAAGTAAAATATCTTTGTGCCATAAAACCCTTGCTCTCAAGGCTGTGCTAGGTGCTCCCGTGATCCGTGTGAGATCGGTTCAGAGCCTGGAGTGAGAAAGAAACTGCAGATAAACCCTCCGACCCTCTGGCCGCGTCCCAGCCTCCCTCAAAGCTGCCGCCGCCGTGGGGAGACTCACAGGAACCCCTTCCCCTCCGCAAAACCGCCGACGCCCCTCGTAGTTCCTTGTGCGCGTGGTCCAGGGAAAGGAGCTGTTGAATGGATTGGAATCGAGAAATACGTTACTTCAGAAATACGTGAAATTCCACATAAGATTAGTTTGGTGTTTGTACGAGCTGAATTGAATTTGGCCTTTTTATTACCTTCTGCTTGGCTCTGCGTTACCTCTGCTTGGGTTCTGTACGCGACCACTGGTGTAAGAGCATTAATGCGCTCAACCTGTTCTCTTCCCGCTTGCCTCGTTACGAGCGTCACAAGAGTGAAGCCGATCGTACAGTTGACTTTTGAGGGAGCTTGACTGCTCAAAAGCGATTCTAAAGCTACCATTTTTAGCAAACCTGCTGTCATTAAATGTGTATTTCTTTTTAAAATGAAATTGCTTGTCCTTCTCGAACGTAAGCACTTATTCTCGCCGTTTCAGCAAATTGGCT